TGTCTTTTTTGTTTGTTTATTTGTTTTTTGAAACAGTCTTGCTCTGTTGCCCAGGCTGGAGTGCAGTGGCACAATCTTGGCTCTCTGCAACCTCTACCTCCTGGGTTCAAGCAATTCTCCTGCCTCAGCCCTTTTTTTTTTTGTTTCATTTCTTGAGACAGAATCTTGCTCTGTTGCCCAGGCTAGAGTGACGTGATGCAGGATCTCAGTTCACTGCAGCCTCTGCCTTCCAGGGTCAAGCGATTCTCTTGCCTCAGCCTCCTGAGTACCTGGGATTACAGGCACATGCCACAATGCCCAGTTAATTTTTATATTTTTAGTAAAGACAGGGTTTCACCATATTGGCAAGGCTGGTCTTGAACTCCTGACATCAAGTGTTCCACTTGCCTCGGCCTTCCAGAATGGTAGGATTACAGGAGTGAGCCACCACACCTGGCCTCTGCCTCAGCCTCTTGAATAGCTGGAATTACAGGTGCGTGTACCACCACACCCAGCTAAGTGTTATATTTTTAGTAGAGACAGAGTTTCGTCATGTTAGTCAGGCTGTTCTTGAATTCCTGGCCTTAAGTGATCTACCTACCTCAGTCCCCCAAAATGCTGGGATTATAGGCATGAGCCACCACAGCCGGTGAGAATAGGCTATATCTTTTAGCTTTCTATTTTTATATCTTACCTATTGTCACTTTATGCTTGGGGCTTAGGACTGGCACAAGAGTGCTATAGATTTCAGGTACTGCAACCTAAGAGCAGCCCCAGACCCATCTGCCATGCGGACTTTCTGCAAGAGCTTCCCTGTGAGGGGTCTGATTTATATTTGCACTTACAATCTGTTTTCCATTAAAAGCACACATGAAAAAATGATATCCTCCTCTAACTTCAAATTCTCTTGGTATCCCTTGCTCTGAAGTGCAAAATCTTTTAGCCCAGTTTACAAGGTCTCGTGGGATCTGGCCCTGCCTCCATTCTAGATTTCTTGGTCCTACTTCCTCCTGCGTCCTGAACCTTTGCTCTCCAACAACACTGGCCCTTTTTAGCTCTTGGAGCCACCGGCCTCCCGCACCTCAGAGCCTGCACACAGGCTCTTCTTACGACCCTCTCTCCTTTGCATCCTCATCCCTGATCCCCTGGATACATCCTATTTACTCACTAGATGTCAGCTGGATGTCTTGACCTCAGGTAGACATTTTCTGATGCCCCCTCCACTGCCAGCTTGGGCATCCTTGTAATATACTATTAAGGGGCCCTGTAGATTTTATTTAGATACCTGAATATATTAATTGGTATAACTTATTCACATTTATTCATATGATTATTTGTTGATCTTCAAGGAGTTTGTTCACCCTTGAATGCCTGGCACCCAGCACCACGTGTGGATTTTCACAGCTCATGCCAGATTCCATGAAGCAAGGGTGAGTTCTTTAAGGCACCCTGCTTCCCCTCTAATCTCCCCTCTTACCACTTTCCTCCTCAATGACTCTCCTGCAGGACTCTCATGGAACTACCAGTCTTCCCCCAAAGCCAGAGTCATGCTCCTGTGTCCAGGCCTTTGTGGTTTCTGTCATTTAGTTTGAAACACTCCGCCAAGAGAGCCTGAAGCTCACTCCCTGCAGAGTGCTCCCGTCACCTTCTAACTGAGGCCTTCCTTGACTGCCCTATTTAAAATGGTCCCACTCATTTCCCTGCATCTCTCTTCCCTGCGGCCCTTGGCACCATACAAAATTCTACATCCTTCAGGTCTATCATTGGCCTCCCCTGAGAAGGAAGTGTTGTGATGGCAGAGAGTTCTGTGGGGCTCACTGATGGCTCGTCAGCACTTAGCACATGCCTGAGGTGTGGCGGGTGCTACACAGGTGTTTGTTAATTGAAGGAATGAGTTGCCTGCCCCCATTCAGATTTAATATTTGCTTTGCCCCTATTGATGAAGAAAGAGAGTCTGATTACACCTGCTGTCTGCCTAAGGATTTTTTTTCTTCCTCTTCACGATATCAAAATATTCATGTTCATTTTTATTCCTTGAAGCCTAACAGACATCTAGACATCTACTGAGTATGTGTTTGGTTTTATGCTGCTGAGCTAGCTGTTCCTCTTGAGAGAGCACACATTCTGTTTCTCTTGTTATAGATCTTAAAATAGTAACGAAGAGGTTGGAGGGGTGTTCCTGCAGATAACATGCAAATCCCAGAAAGCAAGTTCAGATGTAGGATTTGAAGGAGGCAGGGCTTCTCGTGGCTATAGAATTAGTTAAAAAATAATAATAAAAGAGCAGATCACGAGGTCAGGAGATCGAGACCATCCTGGCCAACATGGTGAAACCCTGTCTCTACTAAAAATACAGGCATGGCAGCACATGCCTGTAGTCCTAGCTACTTGGGAGGCTGAGGTAGGAGAATCGCTTGAAACCAGGAGGCGGAGATTGTATTGAGCTGAGATCCCGCCTCTGCACTACAGCCTGGGCGACAGTGCGAGACTCTGTCTCAATAAATAAATAAATAAAAGAGGGATAGGGGCCTGGCACAGTGGCTCACACCTGTAATCCCAGCACTTTGAGAGGCCGAGGTGGGTGGATCACAATGTCAGGAGTTTAAGATCACACTGAACAAGATGGTGAAACCCTCTCTGTACTAAAGAAAAAAAAATTAGTAGGTGTGGCGGCGGGTACCTCTAATCCCAGCTACTTGAGAGAGAATTGCTTGAACTGGGAGGTGGAGGTTGCAGTGTGCAGAGATCATGCCACTGCACTCCAGCCTGGGTGACAGAGCAAGACTCCATCTCAAAAAAAAAAAAAAAAAAAAAAATTGGGGTAGGAAGCCATCCTGCCACCTAGCAGCATTCATAGCCAGAACCATGGCCAGGCTGGAGGCTCTCAGTGCCTTTGCAACTGCAGTCAGCCCCAGCCATGGCAGATGCTCCCCCAGGCCTGCTGCACCCCTCCCTCCCACACGCCATGGGATGGTGACAGCTGCTGGTGCTCCAGGCTTTGGCAGATTGAGGTAGGAGAGTCTGTTTTCACAGGTGCAGCCTGCAGCCCAAGGTTGAAATTTGGCTTAGAGCATGTCCCTGAACATAAAGCTAAATTTCTTTTGTAATGACTACTTTAAAAAAAAAAAAAAAAGCTTGGCCGGGCACAGTGGCTCAAGCCTGTAATCCCAGCACTTTGGGAGGCCAAGGTGGGTGGATCACGAGGTCAAGAGATCGAGACCATCCTGGTCAACATGGTGAAACCCTGTCTCTACTAAAAATACAAAAGATTAGCTGGGCATGGTGGCGCGTGCCTGTAATCCCAGCTACTCAGGAGGCTGAGGAAGGAGAATTGCCTGAACCCAGGAGGCGGAGGTTGCGGTGAGACGAGATTGCGCCATTGCACTCCAGCCTGGGTAATAAGAGTGAAACTCCATCTCAAAAAAAAAAAAAAAAAAAAAAAAAGCTCCCCTTAAAATCCTGAAATGGGTTGTAGGGCCCTGGACACTTTTGGACCAAGGATGTTCCTGCCCTCCATTGTCACAAAGAAAATTTCTTTTTGCTCCAGACAGAAACTGGTAATTGTAATTACTCCTGAAATCTATTGTTTAGTTTGAAATATTTCGGAATTGAGGAAAAAGACTCTTTTCTCCTTTCCTAAGCGTCCTTCTCCCCTGGTCACAAGCGTTCTCTGCCTTTTCATCTTTAGAGAGCCAGACGCTGCATAAAGGCTCCAACTTGGATTGGCAGGGAAGGGCCTGGCTTTGCTTTGCTGTACATTTTAGACCATTTAAAAAGAAATCTGCACCTCAAGTCCAGATGCAGTTACCCACACTTGTAATCCCAATACTTTGGGAGGCCAAGGTGGGAGAATCACTTGAGGTCAGGAGTTCCAGACCAGCCTGTGCAACATGGTGAAACCCTGTCTCTATCAAAAATACAAAAATTAGCTGGGTGTGGTGGTGTGTACCTGTAATCCCCTCTACTCAGGAGGCCAAGGCAGGAGAATCGCTTGAACCTGGGAGGCAGAGGCTGCAGTGAGCCCAGATCACATCACTGCACTCCAGCCTGGGTGACAGAATAAGACTCCATCTCAAAAAAAAAAAAAAAAAATGCATCTCTTTCAGTATCTTTAGCCTGCTGGTGTTAGAAGAGCTGGAGTACGAAGAGACTTCTGATTGCTGAGACCTGAGACATTATCAACACAGAGAGGCAGTGGCGTGTGACGGCAACATGAAAATCCTTCTGGAGTGAGGGTGACAGTCTAAATCTTCCACTGATTACAAATACACACCTATTATAATGTGCCAGGCATTTTCAAAAAGGTTTAAAATGTGAATATTACTTTATTTAGTCCTTAGAAAATTCTACACAATAGATATTCATATTAACCTTCTTCCTGTCCTACTCATTAATATTAACCTTCACTGTCCTACAGGGACAATGATGGCTTTGGGGTCTTGCCCAAGGCACCCTGTTAAGAAATGGCAGAATTAGGAGGCAAACCAGACAGCCTGAGCCTTGAGTCTGACTCTTCATCACCTGACTTTGCTGTCTCAAAATTCCTTCTGGCCTTGTGGCTGGTGGTCTCCGGTTAGATGTGTTCTTCTCCCTTTGTGGGAAGCTGAGCTTGGACACTTTGCCCTTACTCCTGGCACAGTGGCAAAAGAGCTTGGCCACTTTCCCTTCCCTGTTGGCACCTGTCACATGCTTGAGGGAAAAGGAGCTGCTTTCCTTGCCTGGGAGTGAGCCTCCTTTCTTGGCTGTTCCCGGTTGGCTGGGAGTCCTTTGAGTTTCAGGATTCCAGTGCCTCCTCCCACACCACAAACATGTTACGCTGGAATGCCTGTTCTTTTGGTTATGTGCTTGCAAATATCCCTTACTTGGGATGAAGGTGAAACTCCTACCTTTCGCCTAGTTGGTGATTCTGGCCCTGCAGGATCCATGCAGTTCAGTAGGCACTCTAGAAAAGTGTCCCTTTGTGATGGGAACAGATACTGTGACGTCATTCCCTGGCATCCAAAGCAGAACAGGCTGTACTTTTTAGAAATAGCATCTACCTCTCAATCAGTTATTTTAGGGTCTACACACCATGAGCTGTCACCGGGAACCTCCTGAACTTCTGGGGTGACTGAAGGTGTCCAGCAAGGCAACGTCATCCAGTGCTCTTGGTACACAAGGTCAGGCGGCTGGAGGCACTCAGGGGCCACAGCCTATCAGCTCTCTAAATAGCAGCAGCCAGGCTCCTGTCCTCTTCCTTTAGTGTCCTTTGGCATTTCTAATCAGCTCCAGAGAGGATGAGACATATTCTCCATGGAGTGAACTCCAGGCCACTCTGGAGGTGAGCCCATGGAAGTTTTTGTGAAATGTCCAGTCATCCAAAAGGAGAATGGGTCTTGCCCTGAGTGTCTGGGGAACAGCCCTTCTGCCTTTGGCTACCATCCTGCTGGCTTCTGGTGCGGGCACTAAAGAGGTTTGGTTTGTAGCGGCTTCTTGTGGGTATCCATGTCCCATACCCTCAGGGGATTACAAATAAGGGATTAGAATAATGTGGATTATGTTTTTTGAGATAAAGTTTCTCTCTTGTTGCCCAAGCTAGAGTACAATCTTGGCTCACTGCTACCTCTGCCTCCCAGGTTCAAGTGATTCTCTTGCCTCAGCCTCCTGAGTAGCTGGGATTACTCAGCTACTCAGGATGCATGCCACCACACCTGGCTAATTTTTGTATTTTTAGTAGAGATGAGGTTTCATCATGTTGGCTAGGTTGGTCTAGAACTCCTGTCCTCAGGCGATCCACCTGCCTTGGCATCTCAAAGTGCTGGGATTATAGGCGTGAGCTACCATGCCAGGCCTAATGTGGGTTTGATATTGAAACAGGGGTCAGTACAATGAAAGGAAGAGTGGTGGGCATGGGGAGAGAGGAGCTGGGATCCCAGCCTAGCCCTGTCTCTTCCCTCTGGGCAGCTTTGGGAAGTGCTCTGTTCTCTCTGCTGTGCTGCAGGAACTAAAAGGCTCTTCTGTGGAGCAGACGGCTCAAGCAGGCACTTTACTTAATTTTGATAGCAGCCTTTCTTGCCACCTCACATATCAAATGAGACGATGCCTGTGAAAGAACAAGAGAAGCCATATAGCAGTATTCACATGCACATGAGAGATACTGTCAATATCATTTATTTAGTTAGTTGGGTTTAGGAATATTCTCTTCCTGTGTTGCCAGTGCCTTCCTGACTTATTGCCAAAACTCATCATTGTAGAAAATAAATATGACCATGCTGGCTCTACCTTGCTCTAAAGAGGCTCCACTTACTATTTTCTCTGTTCATTCATTTATTCACATATTCATCAGATTTTCTTGTGACAGTGGCAGGTCTTGAGAGTGGTAAGGTCCTAGACAATTTTATAATTCAATAGGGAAGAATGTAAAAATAATCGTAATACAAAGTGAGCAATGTTATAATAGAATTGTGTGCAGAAGGCTTCAGAACACCAAAACCTACAGCTGTTCACAGCAGCATTATTCATAATGGTCAAAAAATGAAAACAATCCAAATGTCTACCAACTGACGGATGAACGGATGGACAAAATGTGTTATATCTATACAGTGGAATACATTACTCAGCAATTAAAATGAATGAAGTACTGACACAGGTATCATGTGGATAAACCTTAAAAACATGCTAAGTGAAAGACGCCAGCCACAAAAGAGCACGTAGTGTCTGATTCTCTTTATGTGAACTGTGCATAGTAGGCAAGTCCTCAGAGACAGAAAGTAGATGAGTAGGTGCCTGGGGCTGGGCAGAGGGAGAGGGGGGTGACTACTGCTAAGGAGCAAATGGTTTTTTTAGGGGTCATGAAAATATTTTCAAATTAGATTGTGGTAACAGTTTCATACCCTATGATATACTGAGAATTCTTCAATTAATGAATTTATGGTATGTGAATTATATCTCATTAAATTCTTTAGAAAATGCCATGGGAATATTGAAGGGAGATTGGTTTTTGGTCCAGGTATCTGAAAAGTTCAAATTGGAAGAAGTATTTGGATCAGCTCTTTTTTTTTTTTTTTTTTTTTTTTTTTTTGAGACAGAGTGTTACTCTGTTGCCCAGGCTGGAGTGCAATGGTACATTCTCAGCTCACTGCAACCTCCATCTCCTGGGCTTAAGTGATTCTCCTGCCTCAGCCTCCTAAGTAGCTGGGATTACAGATTCCCACCACCACACCTGGCTAATTTTTCTATTTTTAGTAGAGATGGGGTTTCTCCATGTTGCCCCAGGCTGGTCTCAAACTCCTGTCCTCAAGTGATCTGCCTGCCTTGGCCTCCCAAAGTGCTGGGATTTCAGGTGTGAGCCACCTCATCCTGCCCAGCTCTTTTATTTATTTGTTTTTTTTTTTTTTTTTTTTAAGAGATAGGGTCTTGCTGTGTTGTCCAGGTTGGAGTACAGTGGCTGTCACAGGGGTGATCCTACTGCTCTGCAGCCTTGAGCTCCTGGGTTTAAGTGATCCTCCCACTTCAGCTTCCTGAGTAGTAGGGATTACAGGCATGCATTGCCATGCCCAGCTAATTTTAAGTAGAAATGGGATTTACTATGTTTTTCAGGTTGGTCTCAACTCTTGATCTCAAGGGATCCTCCTGTCTTAGCTTCCCAAAGTACTGGGATTATAGACATTCATCACTATGCCCAGCTTTTCTTTTTTTAGATGGAGTCTGGATCTGTTGCCCAGGCTGGAGTGCAGTGGCACAATCTCTGCTCACTACAGCCTCCACTTCCTGGGTTCAAATGATTCTCCTGCCTCAGCCTCTCGAGTAGCTGGAATTATAGGCACCTGCCACCACACTTGGCTAATTTTTGTATTTTTAGTAGAGATGGGGTTTCACCATGTTGACCAGGCTGGTCTTGAACTCCTGACCTCAAGTGATCTGCCCACCTCAGCCTCTCAAAGTGCAGGGATTACAGGTGTGAACCACTGCCCTGGGCTACCATGCCCAGCTTTGAATCTTCTCTTGAGAGGCAAATTTGCCAAGTGGAAAAGTGTGGGAAAGCATCCTAAACAGAGGCAGTACTATCTGCAGAAGCATGGAGGAAGGAAAAGGAGGGTGCATCTGAGGAAGAGCAGGAAAGTGGTTGTGGCTAGAGTGGTGCATGCTGGTGGCAAAGGGCAAAAGATGAGACTGAAGGGAGGGAAGAGGCTGGATTGTGTAAAGTATTTTGTGTGTACCAAAGAGTTGGGCACTGTCTTGTCGATAGTGGAAAGCTGCTGTAGGGCTTGTCACTGATGACTGTGTCATGATCAGGTTTAAGTTGTAACCTTAGGCAATGAAGGCAATGAAGATGATGGCTTATAGTGGAGGCGAGTTATGTGGCTTTTGCTGTGGTTCAGGTGGAAAATAATAGTCCTGGATTAATACAGAGTGAAATGGACTGAAAATATTTTTGGGGGACAGAATAGTTAGGACCTGATAGCCAACCATTTTCAAGTGAGAAGAAGGAAGAGGAGGAGATGGAGGAGGAGGAGGGATAGGGGAGAATAAGAAGGAGGGGGAGAAGAAAGACATACAGTATTGTTGCGTGGATAATTAAGTGGGTACAAGTATCATTAGCCAAAAGCAGAATACAGCATAGGGGGAGAGATTTGGGAATATAGGCCATGAGTTTAGTTTTAGAGATGTTGAGTTTGAGAATCCTTTGCAATATCCAGGTACAAACACTCAGAAAGCAGTTGGAAATGACTGAATTACTAAAAATCAGAACAGCAACAAAACCACTGTGCTAGGTACTTTGTATAAATATCATTATAGGCAGCCTCTACAGAAAGATATAGAATATTATACCCATTTTATAAATAAACAAAAACATTGAGAGGCCCTCTAGAAAGAGGTACTGCAGAAACAGTGGACATACAGATTAGTTTTCTGAACTTAAGGAACAATTCACCATTTAAAAACAGTCTCCAAGCTCATCAGTGATGGCTTATGACAGTGGGGAGTTAATCTGAGCAGTAGAGTGTGTGACCCTTCTTTTTTTTGGTGGGACTATACTTCCATTGTCACTGAATGTTGAGCTCCATCAGACCAGCAAAAGGAAGTAATTTCTAAGTCTCCATATTGAGTTGGTAGTCTTGGGAGACTGTATTCCCAAGACGAAAGGTAGAAGAGACGTGAGACAGCTGGAAACACAAACCTTTCCTTCTGCTTTTGTATCAGTATCTAAAAGAGTTTAGTTAAATAAAGAGCTCCTTTTATTTAGCTAGATCTTTAAACAGGCAGGTTTTCATTTTCCGAGGCCACCTCAGTGAGCCAGTTCTGCCCGCCATTGGGTTGTAAACTGGAGAGACTCTTTGTTACATTGTGGTGGGCCTCATAGCTCATAGCCCACAGCCTAGTGCCTAGAGAAAGTGCTCAAGGCAGATATGTGGAGTGAATGGGTTGCCGAGATGCTTTCACCTGGGTTTTGTGCACTGCAGTTTGCTGGGGTCCACTGCAGTGTGCCTACCTCTGTACAAAGGCTTTGCTGCCCAGTTGCCCTGGAGCAATGATATTAGAGATACACTCTCTGTAATATTCTTGCCACGGTCCCAATTCAATTAGGTGATTGTGCTTTCATTGTTTGTGCCAAGATTCCCTGCTGTGGGTGAATCCCATTAGTACCAGCTTAGCACATGTAGGAGGCCTTCAATAAATGTTTGCTGGATTGAAATGAAAGCTTGAATATATTTGAGGAGTGACTTAAGTCCTTGGCTGACCTCAGCTAGTGAGAGCCCTTGGATGAAGTCTAGAAGAGTGAAGATGGAATTTTACATTTCACAATGCCCTCTGAAACCTTCCATAATCCTCCTGAACTTCAGCTTTATTTCAAATTGATTCAACATCAAGGGAAAGATGGGATTTGAGAAGGGAGACTTTCCCCCAAAGTAATATTTCATTTCTAAGTATTATGACAGCCTCTGAGAAAAATAAATTGAATCTAGCCAAGACAGTGACCTGGAGAAAAGCCGATAGAGAAAGGGAGACATTTGTGGAGTAGGTTTTGACATGAGCTAAGAGAGTTAGGTGGACAGGGAGCCAGGGGAGAGGGTTCTGGAAGGAGAAGGCTGTGGAGGAGGCACCTTCCATTCTCCTAAGATGCTGTGCCTGTGACTGTGTCTCATAGCTCCAACCACCTGCATGTCACACCTGGCAG